TAAATATTAAAAATCGTGTTTTATTTTACATAAAGGAAAAAACTCTATTACATAAATTATTTTATTGTTTTTAAGTTATTTTATTTTTAAATTCTTCTAACATTAATACTTTAATATGATGTTTGAAAGTAATCTAATGAAAAAAATCTCACGGAGATGGAAAATACAAATTTCTCTTAAAAACATTACTTTAAATCTCATTCACTTAAGGTTAGTTCTTATAAACCATACAAAACTAAAGGCCATAAGTCTTAATACTGTTGACAACTATCAATATTAAATACATGGTACACCTAATATTCATGGAATAAACAAGAGTGAGAACTCAATAAATGTTATGACTAATGAAGATCAACATATTCAACAAAAACAATAATCTGACATGAAATTCATATTTTTGATGCCAAAAAACAGTTCTTATCTTATAAAAAAGCTAATAATTGCACCAAAGCCAAAAGCATGATTATTTGAGAATAAGCGTGAGAAGCTCCTACAACAAAAGAATGTTTGGATGAGTCATTTGTTTTATTTTTTTATTTTGATAAACACTTATGATTGGAAACTGAAGTCTCCCTACCTGAACACAAACCATCGATGAGAGTACGATTGCTTGAACATGTACAAACACCTTCGTCCGAACACTCGAGATCGTTGTTGGTTCCATTTTTATTCAGCAAATAGCAGTTATCTCCTTCTGGTTTACACTTTTCCCCATGCCCTGAAATAAAAAAAAAACTTTTACGTACAACCATGAAGCAACGATTTGTCATAGTGTATCCAACAGGCTAATAATTTTAAAGTTATACAAAAATAAGTTTTACGATAAGCACAATCCCAAATATCTATATTTTTAGAAGACCTCCTTTTGAATGACTTAGCATAATAAACTTTACCTCAATGGTTGAGTATATTTAAAAAAAAAAAAAAATACTTTGAATCACTTGTGATTCAAAACAGACTTCGTAGTCAACAAGTAACACAACAAAGAGACACATAATAGTAAATATTCATAAACAGAATTTTGGCTTCGAATAACAGTTTGAAAAGATAATCTCACCTTTGTTGGCAACGCAATTTTTCAAGGACAAGCTGTAGTGGTGATTGTTCTCACGGCAGCGACAACTGCCCTCTGAGCACTTGGTAGACTCCCCTAGACCATGGACACACTGATTATTGTCCACACACTCGGACCCCAGAGCGTCCGCTATCTTCAGGCACTGCTTTTTTCTACCATCCATGGTAAAGTTTTCGCTGCATTTGCACACACCCACAGTGTTGTTTTCCATCTTGTCGCATATTGCACCTTTGATCTTGTTCTGGCATTCTCCGTCAACATTGCAGTTCAAACCGTTATCTAGAGCACACAGTCGAGCATGTAATTTTGTGTTTGAGTTAATATATGAAGCTTTGGCTGTTAATTAATTAGGTTACTTGGCCCTTTGTTTATCATCGAGTAATAGTCACTGTATTCGAGAAATCGTAAACTAGTACCAGAAGCAAGTTTGACTTTCTACAATTGTTTGTATTCTAGGAAAACCATGTTTGTATATCTGACGTATGTTTGTAATGGCATGGGTTGAAATGTTTTTGTCATAAATGTACTTATATTCTATCCAAACAATCACATTTCAACTTGTATGAAAAAGCATTAATTTTGTTCCGAACAATGATTTTATAAAAACATTAAGGCTGGGCATGAACTTACTGACACTTTGCGGTAACAAACACGACACTTTTGTACTTTAGAAAAGCTCTATATATTCGAAAGATCTAGTTTCAGCATGCAGCTGAAAAATCGAATACAGCATTGAAAAATTATAAAGTAGTTGATGTCGCTCGCAATTGATGGCATGTAAGTCAACAGAAAAAAATCTTTAATTGTCTGTAACGAAAGCATCAACTAGAACACTTAGACATTAACAATCAAAGTCCATCGATCGATCGAGCTAAAGTAGATTTTTACTTTTTCAAGCCTGTATTCAATATAAATAGAGATTCATACTGCATTGGCTACCAAAAATCTTGTGAGACCGCGTACGTATCACACTTTATAAGAACTTACCTATGCGCACAGTACCAACGATGGGATTTCGGGGAGTACAATTCTTCCACTTAGCATTTGTTGTATCCGTGCTGCAAATACAGAGATTATTTTTACACTTTGGATTTAGCTGACCAGGATCGACGATATCCACACAGTTTGAGTCGTTGGAACAAGGAATTTTAACCATCTCTTCCATCGATACTGTTGAAAAAGAAAATTAATTACTAATTGCAAAACCTAATCAAATTTTGGATACATCGGTTCATGCAAACTTGCTCTTTAGCACTGTAAATTGAGATTTTGATAATTTTCAAACAAATTTAACAAAGGTAGCTGTTCAGTGAATCAAGTAATGATAAATATTAAAATTAACATTCCAGAGGTAAAAAACGAGTTGCTTCGATGCAGTAAATAATTAAATACAAATGTCTTGGCACGTATACAATAATCGATATAAATCGCACTTGCTTTCGTGCAAAATTTGTTGAAAGACGAGATAAAAATGTCTTACCATTCTGACACTCAACGATAATACCAAAGAGGCAAGCAATAAGGATTTTGTACTCCATTTTCATTAGGAATACACGAAAAGACCACTCAAGTTGGTTGAGGTATATCGAGCTATCTGAATTGTGTGAAGACACTGTGGATGTTACCTGTCCAATGGGCGACAACCAAATGGACTGAGAAGTTGCCAGACTCCCTCATATGTTTGCAAATAAGAACGGTCGTAAGTATGAGCTGTATTTTCCGAAAAGTATGTAGGTACACACTTTTGTCTCTACGTGGTTGTGTTTGGATTTTCCCTGAATCTAGCTACGTTATCGTACGTATAATACGATCTTACTATTGGTTTAGACTCATAAGTTATCAGAATTATTACTATCAACAAATAAAGTATTAACTAATCCTTGGGTATTAAAAAGAATTTGAAAAATTATATAAAATAAAAATAAAATGATGATCGTTTAATTCACAACAAAGCTTCAAAGTTAAATTGAAACAAAACATCACTTTAAAATATCGGTAATTAATCAGTTGTTTCTGCTTTAATAATGTATGGATTAAAATGTAAAATGCTATTAAAAATACTTTTATATTCTTTCTCTATCAAATGAACATATTAGTTATTTAAAATTTCCTGTATTGTCATTAGGTGTAGTATAAATTTTATAGTAAGCACGACACACCAATATGGAGCACAAGGGTATTATTCTCACATGAATTTTATATAATATTAAAAATCATTGTACAATGTATCAAAATTTAACATTTATTTGTATCTTGAAAATAAACTAACATCCAAATCATCAAAAAATTAAAAAGGTTTTCAAGCGGGCAATTACACCAGCTCATCCAACCTCAGATGTACGATTACACATGCGGCTGCAGCCGCAGTAGTGCCACGCGTTAATGATAAATCACAGCATTATCCTTGGAATAATGCAAATTGGCGCAGAGGCATCTTGACCGAGGGATTTCGCCCTCCTTGTGGTTAAGCTCAGACACGTATGTATGCATCACCAGTGAGGGGGAACCATTTTCGACTATTCCCTTCCGCTATAATGCCACCAGTGCCTTTGAACAGTTCGAGCTTACATCCAGATATAATATCTGCACGCGCGAAATGGGATTGGGCGTGCAAATGAACCTCATATACCTTTCCACGCAAATTAAGTCAATCCGCTGGCGAGGATGTTTTAATTTGACGGGCTTTGGGTTCTCAATTAATCCCTTGTGACGCTTTATACAGCATTGACCGACTTTCGACGGTGGTGATTTAGTTAAGAAGACTTTGTCAGGGATGAAAGGAGGTGGGTTTGCACTTGTGTAAGAAAACAGTTGGTAGTGAGAGAACTTGCTAACGTTGCTCTGGACATTGCTATGTACTTTATCTTTTCGGTAAATAAATTTAGAATTTGTCTGGAGTTTGAATTAATGTACTATTTTTACATCAAGAGATTATTAACCAGATTGTTCTTTATAAGCTATCAAAAGAACAAATTTTTCTTAAATATCAAAAAACTAAGAGCAAAACTTTTCTTCACTATCTGTGAGCCTTTAACTAATTGTATTTCTTTACCTCTCTAATTAATTTACCGATTTTAATCACAAAAAAACAAAGCCAGGTTGATTAGTTTAAAGTTTTGGGTGAGAAGTTACCATTGCATAACTAATGTATAATTAATAAATTGAATAACAATTTAAATGTCGAGTTGTAATAGTGGTTATTCCGTCTCGCACATGTACGGATATTCGGAAAAAAGAGAAGATGACGTCAAAGCAGAAACTGCATAAATGTAGTTACGTTTAACATACACATACATACTCACGAAGACAAGATGAGATTGTTTTTGTGTATTACTCTTAAACGCGTGTGAACATGATTTCTTTTTTAGCATACGTATACCCAACTTGCTCGCGTTTTCTTCTCAATGAAATTCTGCCGTAAGACATTATGTTTTCACACTGTCTATTAAATAGTATAGCTAATTTCTTAATTTTTCCTTCTTCCCCTGTTTGTGCTTTCAAAAACAGCTTTGAGTTAAAAATTGTTTTTATTTGTACCGTTACTGCACACCACCATGCAATAAATCTACTTGTTTAATTAAATATCTCTAGAAGTAGTGTAATCCTCTGCACATAATAACGAGCAAAAACAAAATGGCTTTTGTTTACTCATTCAATTAAATAATAAACGAAAAAAATTAGAAAGGAATGCTTAAAATTGTACAAATTAAAGATCTTTATTAAAATAACAAAAAAAACTAACTACAATTTTCAATTAAACTAGTCATTTTAGGTGTTAAATAATGATGTACATTTTTTTTAGAAAGGACACCTTTAGAAACGAATTTTTTTTTGTCTCAGGTAAGTACTTCTTGGACCAAAAAAACACTTTAAACAAGCAATTTAGGTTTCTTTACACACTTTTTAATGTTTTTTCCGCCCTCGGGTGGTTTTGAGAGGCTGGTACTTCCTCGGGCGAAAAAGCAGTTTTCCAGAACTCGTTCGAAAAGTCTCCTTTACAAACCTCATTACGTCCCTCGCCTTCGGCTCGGGCCGCAAACCTCTCGGTACGCAAACAGAGACTTTTCAAACTCGTAGGAAAACTACCATTTTTTCATTTTTTGATGCATAGTTTTAAATAATGTATTTTTCCGCCCTCGAGTGGTTTTGGGAGGCTGGTACTTCCTCGGGCAAAAAAGCAGTTTTCCGATACTCGTTCGAAAAGTCTCCTTTACTAACCTCGTTACGGACCTCGCCTTCGGCTCGGGCCGCAAACCTCTCGGTTCGCAAACAAAGACTTTTCAAACTCGTAGGAAAACTACTATCTCTTACCATGGGCCCAAAGTGCATCTGCCGCTTTGCGCCCTCGGGTCACACTTTGCGCCCTTAGAATCACTTTGGGCCCACGGGCAGAAAAGTTTTTTGCGCCCTCTGGGCCTAAAGTACTTTTCTGCCCTAGGGCCCAAAGTGATTTATTCCCACCTTTAAAAAGTCTTAAACAGTACCCAATGTCGATACTTATTGAAATTCAAAGTTAAATGGGAGAGAAACAGTTTCTCAAATTTGATTGACTTTTCAAATTTTAAAGCTCATTCTGTTTGTAAGTTTCGACGCTGCTTATATTATTTCAGGAAGTTCAGGAGTATTATGTAAAAGGAAGAGAAAGGGGAGCCCCTGCAGCTAGGCCCTCTTTACCACACACTCCCTCTTGCACTCGACAAACTCAATATTTTACCGATGTTTGACCTTATAATTGCTTAAAATTCACTACAACATACCTGAAAATTTGGCTAACTGAAGTATCAAATAATAATCAATTCGTAGGTCGATTTTTTTTAATGTCTGTATTTTTCATTACCTATTGACTACAAGTAAATCTCAGGTTGCACTGCCAATGCCAAATTTCAGTAACACATTTTTCAGCGTGACAGCATTGGATCTTATGGAAACAAGTTAATTAATATAATTGACTAAAATTCTATTTTTATGTGGCAACTTACGGATCTGCTATTTATATCGAAAAAAATTATTCAAAAGAAAACGTATCAGCAGAAAAACAAGAAAATAAGTGTCATATATAAGTACCGACGACTGTGGGTAAAATATCGTCAGATCGTGGTAGATCCGACTGTTTGTAAGATCGATCTCTCTGTAGCTGTCCATGACTGTCACGCAATTGATTGCGTTTGTGTGGAGATCGCTCTGGGACCACGAGGATAAAACCGAAATGTTGTTCGTCGTTGACTGAGCATATTGGGTCTGACGTCTGTGGACCGCCGTTGGTGTCAATTCAGTACTGTAAAACAATAAAAAAGACGAAATTAGACAAGAGCTTTCGGCACTGATTATGTATTCAAACAGTTGCGTAGTGTTACAAAATATAATTTTTTTGCAATCCATTTACATTCATAACTTTTTCGAAATACATTAATCGTAGAACGTTGTTAAAGCTTATTTGGACTACAAGTATAAAACTATTTTTCCAGTAAGTATACAAGTTTAATTTTACTATAACTTCTTAAATTCTAGCAAGTTGGACCGAAATCTGGTATACATAGATACTAACCCTTTTTTTCGGGACTCATCATCGTTATCGTCACTGCTGACAATAATTACAGAAGCCGCAGGTGAGCGAATATCAGAAATCGTCATTGTTTGCTGACAACGAGTGATGATTATGATGCGACGTTAAAGTTGCCGAGAATTGCGAGGTCAGTATCGGCTGCAATGAAGACGACGATGAAGAAGGCTTAATCGTTGACAGGGGTGAGTATTGCAGTTTACCCCAGACACTGTTCCTTGGTAGCATATTCTTTTTCACGCGCTTCTTCACGGGGTTGCGCTGTTGCTGTTCCTTCTGTTGCTTATGCTCGTAGCATCGGTGCTGCACCTCACTGACAGCAGCAACAGTCAATATTTGTCGTTTCGTTGACACATTCATTACATTGCACTCCACCAAAGGACGTTTCTTTTTTGATTGAAAAGAGCAGCCAGACCTATAAAAAAAAAAATAAACAAAAAAAATGTAAAGTTACGCTTGAAAAAGTCATACAAAGTACATTGTTATTAAAAAAAAAAANAAAAAAAAAAAAAAAAAAAAAAAAAAAAAAAAAAAAAAAAAAAAAAAAAAAAAAACAGAAAACAATGCTCACTTAATATGGTGCTGGAGCTCAGGCACGTACTTTATGTGCTGAACATGTTGGATCGTTGACAGAGAATGTTGGGTCTGACTTCTGTATATCGTTCTTGATGTCGATTTAATACTGTAAAACAATGAAAGGATAAAATGAGAGAGATCCTTCTAACACCAACAGATTAAAAGTTCAAATAGCGTGTAGTATAGTTAACCCTTTCTTCCGAGACTCGTCGTCGTCGTTGTCGTCGCCGCTAATATTAATGACAGACGCCACAGGTGAGGGCGTGTCGTAAATCGTGATCGTTTGCTGTCTGCCATGCAACCCCTCGGCCGGATCATCGTTTTGTTGTTGCAGGTGGTGTTCGCTTGAGGACAACGAAGATGAGGACAAAGACAGTGAGTGATGGTCATGGTGCGATGTCAAGGTAGCCGAGGATTGCGAGTCCAGTATCGGCTGCAACGATAACGGCCACGATTGTTAAATAGCATTGTGCTGGCTTAGTATATGTTCCCAGGGATGCACGATTGTGGCCATCTGGCTGCTACCACTGGGATAGGGTGTTTGCAGTGTTTGCACCACGTTCTATGGATTTTCACACCAAAACAAAAGCACAGCTATGTGTTACAATCGAATGTACAAGACTAATGAGTATGGGAGTAGTAGAAGTACTTACAGTCAAAATCTTCTGCCGGTCGGTTTCCACCATCGAGACGGGAACTCCGAACTGCTGGGTAGCCGCAGCCGCAGCAGTCGTCACCATCGCCTGCTGGAAAATGATGGAGGGCTGTATCTGAATTTGCGACTGTGGAACTCAGAGAGGCTGCACCATGACGACGTGCTTGGTTGGACTAGGCATGGTTTGATAGTCAGGTTGTGGGCATAGAATATCCTGTACCAGTTGTTGCGGGAAGTCGTTAACCTTACTTCAGCCCCCGGTTGAGCTGATAGACGAGCTATAATACTGGGTGGTTTGACAATTATTGTTGGGCCTGTAAATGTAAGAAAGGCCATCATAGCCGGACTGTACGGTTTGATATTGGGGTACTAGACACTGCACTTGTTTGTTGACGGCAGTACCGTTGAACGTCAGCACGGGGAAGTTTGTCATGATAGACGGCAGTGTTGGCTGAAGGGTGGGAGCGGGATGGTGGTGCCGCAAACCGTTTATAGAGTCACTGGTACGGTAGTTGCCAAGGTGGGTTAGGGTCACAAATGCGTGATTCAAGGCTTCGTCTGGTGTTGTACGGCACTCTTGGCAAATAAATGACAATTGTAGATTAAATTTTGCTACGCGAAAAGTGCATTTTCTCTTTTGAAAAGAAATTATTAGTTTAATTAAATTTTACTACCTGGTCCATAATGAGCATCCTCTTGAGTAGGTCAATAAACTCCTGACGATTGGCCTTTTTGGCAAAATATTGGCCTCCTTCATGATCCACAGTAACGTTGACTTGACCAATGTCGTCGAGAGAATTAAAGATGTACTTTCTGTTTTCTTTCGGCTTAACGCTAGTCTCGGCTTCGTATTCATTGCGAGTTTTGAGACGCCAAAACGAATACGTGACTAAAGGAACATAAACAATGCCAGCATATGAAAATCCGAGGTTAAATTAGGAACTACTGTCATATAAAGCGAGCAGAATAATAAAACTGCTGATAATGAAAAATATTTACGATCGGCCGTGTCAGTTTTATTTGAAAAGTACATTCCATTCATATTCCGACAGAAGAACTTGCTTGTTTTGCTAGCATTGTTGAGCATTTCTTCGGTTGGCAGGCCTTGAGTCTGGCTAATGTAGCGAATCTGGTCGTACTCTGAACTACCGGGGTAAAGAGGCTGACCCATGAATAGCTCAGCGACGACGCAGCCGAGCGACCACATGTCAATAGCCTCGGAAAATGGAAGACCAAGTATAATCTCTGGGGCACGGTAGTATCGTGTTTGGACGTAACTATTGCAGACGGCCTTGGATATGTGACAGGCCGAGCCGAAGTCAATCACTTTGATACGGTAGGGCTGTCGGATGGGGTCAATCAGCATGATGTTGTCCGGCTTCAGGTCTGTGTGGATCAAACCCAGTTGCTGTAAAATTTATAATTGTCTAGTTTACGTGTGTTTACATTTTTATTTTCAAACGATCAAGCAACCAGCTCTTACTGGTATCCTTGACTGTCATTACACTGAATGCAAATACAAATATTTTTTATCTTAAAAAAGTTCCGATAAAAGATGCGCAAAAAAAAAATACTTTTACGTACTTTGAGTTTGAGCAACGCTGTGAGAACCTACTGGAGAATTGGCCTAATGCATTCGAGTGGCAAAGGTGGGAATTGATGTTGCTTCATAAAGTCATAAAGACTGTTCCAAAATCTCGAACACTAAGCAGGTGTGCGATTTGTGCTGGAAGAATTCGTTGGCACTCATGATGTTAAACTGATCTGTATTTTCCTTATTGATGCGATACCTTGAAAATCTGTGGAAATAATAAAAAATGCAATTAGTCTACATTAAGCCATACTTGTATGTGAGAGTTTATGGTGCATACTCACATCGATTTGACCCTGCTGAATGTACAACGGATGGTTTTTTAGAATTTTTATGGCCACTTTCTCATTAGTACCTTCTTTCAAGCATTTGACGACCTGCGGAATGAAAAATAGTTAAATCGGCAAAAATGGTATGGATCAAAACAACGGAGAAATAAACTGAATTTTTACTTGGAGGTTTGTATAGAATTCTTAACATAAATTGTTTTATAAGTTGGGGGCAAATAGATCTGTAATGATAAGTCATTTATATTTCAATAGAGAATTCAACGATCCAAAAAGAAAAAAAAATGTTCTTAAAAAAAATATGTATTGACTTATCATAGATCCATTTGTCCCCGAATAATGAAATTTTAAATTAAAAAAAAAATTTTTTTGGCATGTTATTTTTATAAAAAAGCCTCACAAATTAAACGATGTAGGAAAATATGTATGACATAATCTACAAAAAGTGTTCCGTTTTTGTCTTCCATTTTTATATGTATATAGACGAGCGCGCGGTGGCTCAGTCGGCTAGGTCGTGGATTGGCACGTGGGAGAGACCGTGGTTCGATTCCCCGCCAGTGCGACTTTTTGGGCAAGTACCTCTGTGATTTTTCACATGTGCTTTTTCACCACGCAATGCTCCTCGAGGAGGGTTTTAGGCTACTTTCTCGCAGCAAAAATTGCCTAATTTCCCCCTACCCCCCTCTCAGTAATGGGAGGCCTCCCATGCCTTTCCTTGTCCTTCTCCCAAGTGCTAAGTTCCCATAGTAGTGCCCTTATCAAAGGAGCCGGATGTAGAGCACTCTAATATATAAAAAAAAAAATATTTATGTAGATAATGCGTATAGATATAATAATAGCATGTAAGTCGCGGTAAACGAATGTTTGCACTAACTAAAACCTTTGATCAAAACTTTTTCCGCTTTCTAACCTCAAAATAGCACCTTTGCCGCTTGATTTTAGGTTCTCAGGCGGAAAAATAGTATACAAAACTTGTTTGAAAAGGCTTCTGTACGAACCTCGTTACGGCCCTCACCTTCGGCTCGTGCCGTAAATCTCTCGATTCGTAAATCAAAGCCTTTGCAAACTTGTACGCAATATACTACTTCCTAACAGTATATGGCATTGCAAGTAAAATGACCCCAATCTCGAAGGTCTGTCTTCAAAAAAAATTTTTTTTGAATGGGGGACAAAAACAGGATATTTCTTGTGGATTTTCTCGTATATTTTTATCCTCTATTTTAATAAAAATTTTTTTTAAAGCATTTCCTCAAAATCAGGCTCATTTTACTTGTACTGTCATGTACTATGAGAAAAAACTTTGTAACACGGGTTTGAGTGAGGGTGACTCTTTTTCTGCGATTTACATATTAAAATTATATCTACATAGATGATATGTATGGATAGAGTTTGAAACATTTAAATCGTAAAAAAAGGTTGTCACTCTCACTGAAACCCATGTTCAAAATTTTTTCTTAATAGTACATGTCATTGTGAGTATAATAAGCCGTATCTTAAAGGTGTGCGTCAAAAAAGATTTTTTCATTAAAATAGGGGACAAAAATGGGGTATTTTTTTTAGATTTCTTCAAATAAGTTTGTCTCCTCCTTAAATAAATTTTATATTACACGCTTAGTAAGCAAAGTTAAGAATGTCGCTGATTTTACGTGAATAAATGTAGGTAATCACGGGTAATATGAAATCTAGGAAATTTCTTAACCTCCGAACGTGGTGCGTATACTATTTTTCTGCATACCCTTGCCGAAAGAGCTGATTGTGTGTTTTGGAGCAGGTCAGATATAACGCACTTTCAGCGGAGGTATGCAGAAAATTTTTTTTTGAGGCATACCCTCGAAACCGGGCTCATTTTACTTGTACTGCCATGAACTGTGAAGAAAAAATTTTGAACACGAGTTTTAATGAGGGTGACACCATTTTATTGCGATTCACATGTTTAAAATTATATCTATATGGATAATATGTATAGATATAATTTTAAACATGTAAATTGTGAAAAAAGGGTGTCACCCTCCCTGAAATCCGTGTTTAAAATTTTTTCTTCATATCTCACGACATTACGAGTAAAATTATTGAAATGGGGGACGAAAATGGAATATTTTTTGGGTATTTCCTCATATTTTTATGAAATGAAATAGTACAGCACTTACATGTCCAAAAGTGCCCTGTCCAAGAAACTCGAGGACCTTATACTGGTTGGTCATGGAGTACAGCACTTCGTCCTTAACCAGCTGGTACTCACCTTCACCTTGAGAATTGGATCCACCTTCGTTGCTGGCTTTATTCAAGCTGTTCTCCATGATGCTAATTCTGCAAGTGACGGCTTTTGTTGTTGCTTTGTGTTGAGGACTGGAGCTGGCCACAGTGGTAAAAGTTATGCTGATTCGTGGAAATTGGTGGAAATATTTGTCGCAACAAAAACAGAAATAGATGACAGAAATGTTTGTGGTGTCAACCTTTCAAAATTTCAATTGCTAATGAAATAATGCGACTTGCACCCGTATATTATAAGCAAATCGTATAAAGAGAAAATGTTGTAACGTCATTGTATTATTAGTAACTCCGTAATTATGATTTAATTATCGAAAGTGGTCCTTCTTCATTATGGAAATGCTAAGCGGTATCGCCGTAGTATCGAAAATGCGTACAACGTGATGATTCTAGAGGTGAAAGTTGTCATTTCAAGAAACTATTAAGCCCTACGATAAGAAGCATGTGTATACCTGTGAAATTTACCCGTTCGCTATATCGATATTTTCTCTCTTGTTTTTGTTCACATTCAGACAATTTTAGGTGTCCTTCGCCGCAAATGTGAAGTGCGTCCCAAGAAAAAAATGATTGAGTTGCATCTTGATGGTTTTATTTCATGATCGAGTTGCGACCTCGTTGATTTTATCTTATGGTTAAACACTCGAACTCCGTTGCAGTCATTAGCACAATCGTACTTTAAGATAAAACTAATGACGTTAATTTTATGTTATGCTCGTGTTCGGTCCAGTCATTAACTCGATGAACCATAACTTTTCTGACATGCTTCATCTAGGCTTCAAACTTGTAAACACTTTTAATTATTTCGCTGAACTTACTTATCCTTTCTTTGCTAAATCTGAATTTTATACGAAGAGTCAGTATTTCGTAGCACTGTGAGGTGAACAATATTATAATCCGATTATCTAGTTCTCTATAGATGATAGAATTTTCCAGCAGTGAAGAAAATAAAATTTTAGCACAGTCAGGAGATATAGTTTTCTACTTTGTCGATAAGGTTGTTTTTCTTTTATAGCTTAATAACATTATGTATTCAATAGCCAGAGATTTCATCGAAAAAATAAGAGTAGATGCATATTCTCGACACTCAAAAGAATGAATTAAACCCAAGATTGATTGAGAATTTAACGTGATAAATGAAAAAATCAATGAATCTCGCCTAGATCAAGCTATATATATTTCGTGTTAGTTTGCTAATTAGAACTATTTTAATTTAAGTCAATTTTTTTAATTGTCAATAGGTATTGTCATTGACAATAAATTAGCAACAAATGGAGCCAAATACGTTTATTAACCGTATTCACGGTTTAAAAATGTGTTGACTAAAAAAGGTATATCCTTGGACCTTGTTCAGCCAAGGACACCTACTAGAAAAATCCAACTACAAGATACGGGTGTCTTCCCGTACGTGCGTGTGTAATTTCTATCTTTTCTCTCTCTCTCTCTCTCTCTCTCTCTCTCTCATTCTCTCTCTTTACTTTTCTTGTACTTGCAGGTTTTTTTTGTATTTTATTTATTAAACTAATTGACTTTTTTTTATTTGGACTACATAACATAATTTGAGTTTACCTCAAGAGATAGGGTTGTTGATTGGCGTCATTTGAAATTTGTTAATGTATTTAATGTTTGGCTATATATTATACTAGCCGTTAATGTCAATCACCACAAATACAAAGTTCTTAACTGCATTATATCAATATATCAAAGCACGTATTCATTTTTCTGTTCTTCTCTGATTTTTTCAGTTCTCAGCTTCTTTCCAGATCCAGTAGTGGAGGATTGTCTGTCGAAGGACAAGCGTCGACATGGAATATGCATGAATAGAAACGATTGTCGGGAGCAACGTGGCATCTCCAGTGGGCCCTGCGCTCTGGGCCTTGGCGTATGCTGCGTCTGTGAGTATTCTCAACTCTGCATTATCCTAGAACGTACCTTGTACAACGCCACTAATGAAGTATTTTCAATGTTTTATGTGGATACTTATGCAATAAGTAATTGAAATAGTGCCCGTAAGCTTCGAGTTAAAAATGGTCAATTCATCGCCAGTCGATTAGCCTTACTGAGAGAAAAAAAATAATTAAAATTACTGTGCTTTAATGGTAATCTGGTACTGTTAGGTCGTCTTGTGACTTTTTACTATTTGAACAGTAATTTTTAATGCTTAGAACAGTAATTTTTGTTGTAAGTACAGTGATTTTTACTATTTATACAATAGGTTAGAAATTACTTTCCAGAATGGTAAAAATTAGGTTGGCGAAAGTAAAAAGTCCCTAGATCGTGAAATGACACTAGAGTAGCATTCTAGCACAGTAATTTTAATTAATATTTTCTCGAATTGCAACTCTAGCTTGTATATGTGAAACTAGAAATTGTTAACAAAGGTAATGTATTAGTAGATCTAGAATTATATTTTTATGGCACGGTTTTATGGCATGCATAGTTAATATAGGTAAACTCATCATACATACGATTTGAGGCATTTTTTGCGGGGAAAGTTAGTTTCTAACTTTGGCATTGATAGTATCATCACATGAGATGTGCTCGGGGGTCAATAGTTAAAACACCTACGTTAGCTTTTACTCCACACTTTGCTATACATATCATATGAGATTACCCCCCTTTGGCTTTTTCACCGTCGACACGTCCGGGATCGCGAAAACTATCAATTCGGGATTGGATGGAACTATAGGACTTGATACTTGCATACGTCGAAATCTTCAAAAAGTTAGACGTTACTGATAACCATTTTCCGATAAAAGTTATTACTTACCGGTTGCATTTGCTGGTCTGTTTGAACTTATTACATTTGTTTTAGCTCGTAGAGTACATTTTGGTCCAAAACATACTTTCTTACTTTGGAAAAAGTTATATCGAAAACATTGGTGGCATTAGAATGGGTATACTTCGGTGAAAATTATGGTTGTACAAATAAAGTTACAGTGTTTTCTCAAAATTCAATTGATAATCCTTTAAACGAGTTTTGAACTGCGTTTCTGATGATCTCTGGCAATGTTAAAATTTTTCATACCAACAAAAGTAATAACTACTTAAAATTAAAGTTTTCAAACATCGGTTGATGATGGCATTTAAGCATAACTCTTAATTTTCTATTAAATTTATACATTTTTACCTTAACTAGCATTTAAATTCAACACTAATAATTTTATTAGGATGAATTGGCATAGTTAATCCCCGAATAACGTAACAATCAAATTTTTTGGTAGAAGCACGTTTGTCAGTAAATATTCTCTATTGTAAGGCCACAACTTTTTCAAATAAAATTTTTTCTAGGGAAAAAAATAGTGCTTCAGTTTTAATTATATTCTACAGGCCATAACAAAGAGAAAAGGTAAAGCACATATCGTTTTAACTGAACGATGAAGCCAGCATACAGCTTTTTCAAAAATGTTATCTCTGTTATTGTTAAATTTTTTGGATATTTCAACGTATAGGTTTGCAAAAAAAGTGTGAGTCGATCAACTTCGTATAGGTATACATGAACTTCCACACCAAAAAGTGCACATACGCGTTCTAGGATCCCATAAATTAAGATTTCAATTTTTCTTATCGCACGTGGTGCAGCTACTACGTCTCCCCCCACCCCTTTTTCTCTTATCATTCATTGCTTTTTCATTTCCCTTTAAAATATAAGTACGTATATATTTTTTTACTCATAAATTTAGGACCCGATGTATCCATTTTTCACACTCCCAGCAGCGACGGCTTTGACGATGCATATTAATATAGAAAGCAATTAGCGCTGCCTCATCGAATTCCGATAAACTAGCTATATCTCTATCACTCCCTCTCCTTATCCATCCTACTTTGCCGCACAATCGGAGTTGAGCAAATTATTTGATCCTATATTTAGAGCGCGTGCACGTCTGCGTTACTCATCTGTGCATGAAATAACGATATGCAGTGTAATTAATTGAGAGACTTCAGAATTACCGTATTACGTGTAATCAATCTAAATATGGAAAGATAATCGAAGTGATGCATATCATACTCATACACACTTTGCACACTCCAGTAGTAATTTTGGTAATGAGACTAGTATATACTGTTGATTTACAATAATATCTCGAGGGTCTGGTTGCCACGTCCTCATTTCTCTCTTCTCTCTCTCTCTCCCTCGCTTTTCCTCTCGGATCAAAATAATTTGATTAATTAACATCAGATATTGAGTTTGCAAAATCAGTAAATTATGTTTACAACTGTACAGTGACAAGGCGTTAATTATAGCTGGCTGTGAGGTCAAGTTATTTCAAAATTTATCGAAATTTAGCATAGGTGGCAGACTATCACTAATCTAATCACTATCTTTGTCAGTGCTTATGATGTTCAAGCCACGATCCATCGAGACAAAAGTACTTGGCATGAAATGATAATTCAGTCTTGAATTCCTATAAAGTCTTATTTATAATTAATTGCGATTCAATTTAATTTTTCGTAGTTCATTGGTTTACTAGCACTTTTTTTTCAACCAATTAAATCTATAGTTCCCTCATGTGCGTATAGTAAGACTTTGACACAAACATTTTTCCTGGCGCTTCAAAGATCGACGTAAACTGCCAAAATAGACAGCTGTAGGGGAAGAAGTGAATATATTATTGCAGTGATATAGCTCGTGAGTCATCAATTCGATTATTGTTAATGACACCCTAACTATAGATGAGAAAAATCCGTACAATACTCAACACGATCTCTACGTAACTCACATTCCATGATACCTACTTTAACTGGATAACAGGAAGATATAAATATTTATCATGATCATCCCACGTATTGGGTATTGTACAAAACTTTGAAATCAGTCGAATTCCTGTAAAAGCTACACGTCCAAGAAATAACAACGCGTACACATCTATATTCGACTGCACGTATATTTTTTGAAAAAGTTAAGCTCGAACGACAATATAGCGTATACGAATTCGAAAAAGAAGACGCAATTCCGTCTTCACTTCCATATTTTGCCGAGCGGATTATGATACCTCGCTCGTGGCGAGAGTACAGTTACTTCATCGCCTTTCGGCTCGGCCTCTAGTACATATTTATCCACGTTTGTACGCGTGCAGTACACACATGAATACACATATACGTCCAATAAAAAAGTCAATCTGATGCTTGGCTTCTACTCTTTCTCTCTTCCGACTTAACTGTTGTGCGCTTCTGTGTCGTTATCCATGCACATATGTATAGTACGGGCTTACGAGCGCATTATATAAAATCGGCTCTCATCCGGGCGAGCCTAATTGACATTCCTGATTCCCTCGCTCTCGAAATCGCGCTCTGGTCCACACGTACAGAGATTATTGCACGTGATATTTTCATGCGTGTAGCTTATTTTTGCGAGGATTTTTTTTTTCAAGCGATCCCTGGGAATATTGCAAAAATGGAGTGGGTTTCTTTTTTCTATATTTTTTTCACCTCGAAACATTGGGTGCAGTAATAATGGGTTATTGTTATTCGTCGTTGCTGAAGAAATGAAATACATAATCAAACGTTTGCAATACGCTTTAATGATAGGGGAAAGAATTTTTTACGATAAGGTGACAAACAGGAGTAAGTTTTTGTAGTGCGTCAAGAGTGTACGTGGATTATTGCCATAAAATGGATGACATAGAAACATAAATATTTTTCTGTACAAGGTTACTAGTTAACTCAACATTATATCTAAAATTTTCTTCATCAGCCACCAACTACTGGACTACTTTCACTTGTACTTATCGCAAAAAACTTACGTTGACATCTCTATTGACGTTATTTGTTATTTTACATGTAAAGGCACATTATATCTAAAATTTTCTTATTTTTATACTTGGAAAACTAAGCTTGAGCTCAGAGCTATAAAATATTATATTATTGGAGATTTTTTTATAAAGCGTTAAGTATTTCTTTATAAAGTTTTGAATCTTGATAGAATTTGCTAACAAAGATTTTAGTACGGCAATAAATATATTATCCTGTTGAGCCTTTCAAGACCAAGTACAATTACAAATATTCGACTCGCAGTAATGTTTTATCGTTTTATTTTAATTAAAAATATCTGTTAACATAAACCGTAAACTTACCAAGTAATGGTTTTACTGACCAATCATTACAATGGAGAAACAAATTTTTGGTTTTAATTATTTCCATATTTATTTTAATTCGAGCAAGCTTGTACTTTTCTAAGTAAAAACTCAGGAATTACTATGACACTTTTAATGGTCGTTGTTAAAACTTTTATGCTGATTTCTCTACATTTTGAGAAAATCACTGAATCTTCTTACGGCGGTTACATTACAAATTAACATAATGATAAGCTTCATAGGATTTTGTGTACTAATAAATCAACATCTAGGATGAAAATTGTTCGATTTTTGTAGTTTTGACAGTTTTTTCGGAAGGCAAATTGTTCATGCTCATATTTTAATACTGTACCATAAATGTTTACGAAAAATTGTCTTTTCTTATACTTACGAGCTATTTTTTAAATCTTTTGACATTCACTTTACCCTTAAAATAAGGAAAAACAGAGTTTGCACCTGGTGCTCATCCAACTAAGGCAAACACAAGGGATCTCCCGGGCTTGGTTTATCATTGGTGACAAGTATTTTAAAATATTTGCAGTAACTTTTAAAGAAAAATTTCTCACTTTAAGCAATTCGCGGTCCATGTGTGTTTCTCATTACGTTTGCGTTCTTATTTCTATGATAAAAATCGAATGAGGTTTGTCATGAAATGCTATGGACTTTATACATTTTTTTTATCAATTGTCAAACCCTAAATCTTTTTTGGACATTTTTTTGCAAACTCAAATCCATAAAAACTAATAAAATATAGTATGACAATACATAAGTATCATTACATAAAAAAATCTACAATACTGCTTAACCTTAACCTCATAGAT